GAATTCAGACTTTATTCTCAGAATTCAGACTTTATTCTCAGAACTCAGACTTTATTCTCAGAACTCAGACTTTATTCTCAGAATTTTGGACCTTAATGTAGATGGGCCCCATGAAGGAAGAGATGTGGAGCACTCAGCTTCACTGACATAGATGTGAGTTGTTTGGGAGGGCCAGTGACACATTGGTGGAAAATGACAGAATTAGGCGAATTTTTTGTGCCTGATGGGTCCCCAGTGATGCTATTTCATCAATGGAAGAGCAGAAGGTGATTAAAACAAGAGAGATAATCTCTAAAATATACATGGCTTGATGCTAACATGTTTGTTAGCTGTCAGAATTCTGATAAAAAAAGTCAGAATTCTGAGATTAAAGTCAGAATTATGAATTTTTTCCCATATTAAACTGAAATAAAATAAAAAATCAGTTAACTTTTTTTTTTGCTTTTTTCAGTGGCCCTAATCTTCCGTAGTTGTTAGTGAAAGTTGATCATGATGATCTCAGAGGGGGGGCCCTTAGCCCTAAACTACAATTTAAATCTAAACTCAGTGTTTTAATAATCCAGACTAGGCTGAACCAAATAAGGTTTCATTACATTACAACTTGACTATCTAGAGTCGTTTATTGAGCCAAAAAAAAAAAAAATCATGTAACTGATCCTTAACTGTCATAGAAAGCTGACAGCATTTCTGAGTATCTAAAGTATTAAAAAAGGCAAAAAAGTTTTCTTTTGCAAACTTTCAGTCACTCTGACAGAGTTTCGGTTCAAGGGACCCTAAACCATAAAAATATATTTTAGCAGTGCTGAATGCTCCTTCAGAGACCTTAATAGATTGGTTTTAAAAGTTGTATCTGGCTTTTACTTTAATATTTATTTTTTTAAGAATTATTTTCTTTTTAATCTACTCAATAGCAGAATAATAATTTAACTTTTCTTTCAAATATTTGCTAAACTCGCTTTATTTGCTAACAGTTTATTATTTTAATTTAACATTTGGGTTGATTTATGTTCTTTGATTCTAAGATGCAATGTTGTGGTTCTTCCAGTAGAGGTCACCATTGCACAATATATATTCTCTTGATGAAATGTCATGTTTATATTTATTTTGAGTGGCCATTCAACAGCTGCTGATTTGCGCTTGAATTAATAATTTTAGCATTGCTGAGTGATTTCAGATTATATTTTCCAGCAGAACAATCTAATCTGAGGTCAGAGTTTTGTCACCAAACCTGCTTTTGTTTACACACTCAACGGTCTGTGGTTACAGTGTAAACAATATGGATTTCACTACACTGGAACTCAAATTGGTTCTTTGTTAGGAGTTTGTTGCCATCATTGTGCTTTAGATAAGGTCGTATTGATCTGCCTGTTCTGTAAAAATCCTCCACACTGTTTTGGATTTGATTATGCCGCTTTTGACTGTTTTATTTCGTGCTGAAACAGTAGGTCAAATGTGTAAACTACTGTGTTACACAAACTTTGGCCTGGAGCCTCCTGAGGCATAATGGTGGGTTGTGATTCTCTTATCTCAACTTTTATTTTAGTTGAATTTAACGTGCCAGATAAAAAAAGATCTTCCATCTAAAGATAATTCAAGTGAGGAACTTTTCCCCTTTGTGTTTAGTGTGATTGATTTTGAAAATTGAAACAGACTTTAGCGTGTTATTCCGATTTTTCATGGGTTATATTGATGGTTTTTTTTTTTGTTCAAACATCCCGTGTTTCTTCCTTTGCAGAAATTGGGACATGCAATTTATTTATTTTCTTACAGTGTCCTTTCTGGCAATGTGGCAATAAGAATAAATGTCAAAAAGAGCCCAATAGATTCAGTGGAGCAGTACGGCTAACGCCATAGTGTCCCGCTTGATTTATGCTTATACAAAGCTTTATTATAATTCATGCAGGGAGTTTTACAGATTTTTTTGGTAGAACAGGAAAGGAAAAACAGAACAAAAAGGAGTAAAGATAAAAGAAAGAGGAGATAACGATAAAAAAAAAAAAAGGAATGTTTAACTAACCTTAAATGTCATCTCCCTTTTATCGGGAGATGACATTAAGGTTAGTTAAATATTCCGCTCTCCTCCTTGCTGATTCCTAAGCTATATAAGCCAGGTTGATGCCATGTAGAATTCAAATTGAGCTACACGTATTGATCTGGAAAGCCTTATGTAGAAAGGGAGGGACATTCAGCTGGGCGTCTGCCTCACATGCCGAGTTTTCAGCCAATCACAGCAGCAGCAGCAGTTTGATGTGTTTCACAACCAGATGAGTTAACTGCCGCTGTGTTTGCTTCACATGAGCAGTTTGGCCTTTTAGTTTTTTTTTTTTTACTCCACTGTTTTTATTTTTTTGTTTCCATTTATGTAGCGACACTGCCTATGGGCCTGGCATACATATAACAGTGTTGTTGCTTGTATGAAAGCGCATTCTTTTTAAATTATTTTATAACTTATGCTGCTCTTTGTTTGTGTTTTTTGTTTGGTATTTTTAAGGATTTTGATCCAGCAGAGATTTTTGCCTCTAAACGAAGCATAAATAAATAATTCAACACATTTCTTCCTCCAGACATCAGTCATGTTAAAAATAAAAGGTCTGGATCCATTTTTTGCTGCTTTTTTTCTGGTTTGTTAGTCTTTATTCTGAAAATAAACCAGAAGATTGAGGTTATTATTATTATTATTTTTTTTGAGCGCTGCTTTCTAACTTTATTTTTACGTTTTTCTTGTTGTAAATAATTTCTTATCTACACCACTTCCTGTGATTATGAGCTGGTATTTCAGCCGACTTCCTCATTAGTGGAAAATGTTTGCGCTGTGTTACATAACGGCCTCTCGCTCCGGAGACTCTGACTTCTCTGACAGGCCTGCCTCAGAGATGGCCGTCCCACAGAGCGAGGAGATGATCAAGAATATACCTCTCCTCTTCATGTAGTTCCCAAGAAAAAAAAATCTTAAGCTTTACACTGATAGGTGAACAGATGAGTGTTTGAATGAGCATGGCTTGGCGTAAATCCATCTTTCCATGCAGACGGTCCTCCAGCCTTCGTCTGCTCCCCACCGTCTCCCATGGTGAACCGCAGATAAGAAAATGAATCTGGGTTAGCATGAATGAGCTTCTGTCTCACATCAGCTTCCTCTAACTCTGCTCGTCTGAAATAATTCAGAAACTCCTGAGTCCTCCGTCATCTGGGCAGATTTCTGTGCCAAACTGATCTAAAAGTTTGAACCACCTTTTTATTGTTCATATTTTTGGGAGGCGTGCATTTGTGTGTTTAATCAAAGCATGCCTGCACAGAAGTTGGTGTATGTTTACACTTTCTGCAGACGGTGGGATTTGTGCTGAATGTAGGCCAGCAGAATCCCTGTTACGTCAAAGGCAGTTAGGCGGGCAGATGCAGGGAGGGAGCTGCTGCTGCTGCTGCTGGTTTGTGCAGATGTGGTCATGGAGGAGGCTGTGGCGCACAACGGGGACAGACTCGGATAAGCAGCAGCCAACGGCGGCCGACGACCATGAAGACGGTCCTGAGCCTGCACAGGAAATGGGCGCACGCGGTCAAGACCATCCGCATCCTGCAGGGACTTGTGAGTGCCGTCAGGCTGCCGTGCCGACGGGTCAGCTCTGTGCGGGTCTGCACCTCGCAGCCAGACCCAGTTGATGCGTCCGTTGATTTACTTAAACAAAATCGGGGGAATTCATTACATTTCGTGTTTTTTAAGAAGAGCAGATTAATCCAGAATCGAGGTTTGGATTTGTGGGTTTTTTCTATTTTTATTTCCATTAAACTAAACATAATTTGTTAAATTTGTTAAGTTTCTTCTATCAAACATTAAGCTGGCGTTTATTTCCCTCTGTATCTTGATTAAGTTTCATCTCAGCCTTTAGGTTTTTTGTTGTTGTTTTTGGCAACTTGGATACTTTTCTACCATTTTTAGCTTTTCTCAACCAGGTTTAAAACGAGAAACTTAGAAATTGAAGCGCTGCTGTTTGTGATGCGCGGCTGAACGTCTGCAGGGCGTCCGTTTAGTTCAAACCCTGAAGATTCAGAACTTAGCAGCGCTGATCGGACCCACAGCTGCTCTCTGAAGCATCAGGTGTTTAAATGATTCTGGTCAAAGTGGAAAATCTATTCCTCTTCATCTCATCTTTTTTGTGTTTATTTTTTGGTTCAGTTTCTCTTATTGTAAGAGATTTTTAAAAATTGTTTAAATAAACTTTTATTTGCTTTGATTTCTTTAATTTTCTAAAAAAAATCATTTTCAAAAGCTTAGTTTTTAGTTTTCATCAAGACATTCAATGACTTTTGGGATTGCACCATCATTTTAGTGTTTAATAAAGTTCTAATGGTTCCTTTTACTTTAAGTGACAAATAATGAAATTTATATTCTATATTGTGTTTATATAAAGGTTTAAATGTTTTAAATGCATCTTTATCTGGTCTTTTTTTCAGAATTTTTTATCCTATTAGGCTTTTTTCCCCCCTGCACAGATCCATGGATGTGATAATGTTAAAAACACTTTATTCTTTACTTTCTAAGGGACATGACTCACTGTTTTAATGATTAAGTCTTTAAATACTCTTCTAAGGCTAAAAAATGATAAAAGCTAATTCAGTGCTGCTGCTAATGCTACCTGGCTGTGCAGAACCGCTGTTAGCAGCATCTTATCAGAAATCAGACCGTTTCCTTTAAGGTCTGACCTGCTGCTTAAAGGAAACGTTTGATGCAGAGTTTTATCTAATTATTTGCATCAAATAATGTAGAAAATTGTTGTTTTGATGCTTTGAATGAGTATAAGAATATATTTTAAGTGAGGCATTGTCCGATCTGCCCGATCGATAGCTGAAAAGTCAGCTGACCGTCTGTGCCTTTGCTCCTCTCCTGGTGTCTCCTGGTTGTGTAACGGCGCAGGCTAATGAAATGGCTTTGTTTGTTACATCACACGAAGGCATTATTAATCTGTTCTGTGAAATAATCTTTGCTTTCCCCTTTTGTTTGTCCCCAGAACCCGGTCATGGAGGAGACGGTGTGGGAGCAGTACACCGTGACCCTGCAGAGAGTGAGTTCCCCTCCGTTCTACATTATTCACAACCCAAACAGACGCTCTGTTGTTCCCACCGCTTCACTTGGAGAGCATCTGAATTATTTGTGAGGCTCTCTGAAACTCTTAGAGCCAAAAAGCAAAGTGAACTTAAAAAGTTTGAAATCCTGAACTGTTTTCCACTTCTTCATGCCTTGGTGTAACATACATGTTTAATATCGCTTGTAAACGAAGCGATGAAAAGCTTCGTGCCTAAAAGTTTGATTGTGTGGGACTCATTGTCTCGTGCAGCGGCTCGATGCAGCCACAAAAAAAAAAAAATATGCAGGAAAAATGTCTTTTGCTTGCAGGCATGTGACCTCTACATGTTACCCTCCCCTCTCCTGCAGCCAGCTGTCACTCCCCTGCCATGTCCATCCACTCTCCTGCCGCTCATTAACTAATGCCTCTGCCCCCTCAGAACATCACTCATTGGGTTTAACTCGGCTTGCAGGATGATATTCGTTAGATTAGAGTCATCAGGAGGTGAAACGAGCAGCTTTATTCTCTCTGCATGTTGAAACAAAAGACAGGAGGACATTACAGACGTGTTTGTGTTAAAGGCCCTAAAGAAAAGGCAAAAAATGCATCTGCCTTTCCTCCTAATACTGAAAATGATTTAAAACATCAAATAATTTCAGTCTTTAATATAAAAAACGAGGTGGATATAATTTCTTGTCATTTATAGGAAAAACGCAATTAAAAAATGAAAAGTTTTTAACCTAGAGATGTCGACCCAAGGAGGATGTCCTCACCGCGGTTAGCCATGTTGGTGGTTTAATGGGCGTCATGTGTATCTGAAACCATAACGAATAACTATGTCACCGTCCTGAACACGCTACTTTGAAAAAGTAATTAGTTATAGTTACTAGTTAATTTTCCCAAAAAGTAACTGAGTTAATAACTGAGTTACTCCACAATAAAAGTAACTAGTTACTAGTAAAAGTAACTATTGCGTTTCTTGCCCTGTAACCTTCACCACTCGACCCCCACCTTCTCGCCGTGTGTTTCCAAAGCCAGCTGAATAGAGTGGATGACAAAGACAAGAACCTGCAGAGAGTTTAGCATTTATTGCAACTTAGGCCCCGTCCACACGAAGTCAAAACGAACACGAAACGCTGATATTTTCCAAAACGTTTGCCGTAAAGACGGAGACGTAAAATAAATGTGGTCGTCCACACGAATGCATGAAAACGCTGCAAAATGTATGCCAGGCCTGTAAGTGGCGCTGTGGTGCCAAAGCAAAAATAAGCGACGAAATGTTGGGCATGCGCACTAATATTTATACATGGTTGGTCCATGGTCCATTTTCGTGGTTCAGTCAAATTCAGGTGCTGAACTATGTCGTCGATATTGCTCTGTTCTTCCTGGAGATATTCCAGAAGAAGAAGATTCTGTTGTAAGCCCGACAGCAGGGTGAGTAGCATTAGCAGCAACGGCGCCATTGTTGTTGTGATGTGTCGCGCATGCGTGTTTAGAGGCGACGCTATGACGCATGCGTGTAAAAAAAAAAAAAAAAATGCGGTTAGAGCGTAAAGATGGAAACGCGAAAACGTTTCAGAATCTTCCCACTCTGAAGGCTGAATAAAAAAAAGATCGTTTACAGACCCCAGAAACGCCGGCTTCGTGTGGATGAGAGGCTGGTTTGGTGAAAAATTTGTGCGTTTAGGCCAGGGTTTGACTTCGTGTGGACGGGGCCTCTATGTAAATGACATCAGGGGGGAACGCTATCCGACGGGCCTGTAAACCCCGTCAGATAGCGTTTCCCCTGCTTAACATGGGGGGAACGCTATCTGATGCGGTGTAAATATCATCAGGCTGCATTACCTCTAGTCATGGGTGTGAAGTTTTTTAACAGGGCGTTCAGATCTGGTAAGTGAATGAAATTAATAACTGGGATGTCTAATTCTAAAATCCTGCATGTTTGGGTTGTTATAGATACTGCAACATCTATCTATCATCTATCTATCCATCCATCCAGCATTTGATCGTTCACGCTCTCCGTAGTTCCCCCGTGGCGCGAGCACAGGGCGGCTGTTACGTGCCTTTAGCTAGCATGCGCGTTTCCTGTCGCTTGCTCGGTGAATCGTGCCGCCTGCGCTGTGCGGAGATGCAGAGGAAACCGTATCTGATGGGGAAATGCAGCTCGACGTAACACCGGTATTTCCATCTGGAAAACACTTTTGCTGCGGGAGTCCTCCTCACTCTCCATCTCTCTGTGTGTGCTGTACGTTAACACCCGTAACAGCCATTCTCATTCTCCCCTCTCTCATGACAAGGCGCGCACGAGTCCTATCATGAAAAAAGGTTCATTGTGCGACCTGAGTAACGCGCAGTAACGGGGTGTCTGCAGTGGTAACTGCGTTATAGATACATTAAGAGTAATAATTTTGATTACTCGTTACTAAAAAAAAGGTAACGGCGTTAGTAACGCCCATCACTGGTCCAGAACATGTTGAAATGCAACATATTAGACTTAGATTTATTTTGTATACAGAAGTGTAATGAAAAAGAGATTTGGTTTAGAACAGCTCTCTAGACTATTTTATTTTTTAAAGTGCAGCCTTGATAAGATAAGCAGCAGTTGTTGTTGTTGTTGTTGAGCTGCTACTACAGCCTCCAGCTCCTGAAGCACCCGCTTCTCCTGGCTCAGGGGAGGAAGAGGAGGATGATGACGATGCTGTGAGGGTGGTAGTCCCCTGGGTTGAAGAGGCTGACGTGGTTGAAGCAGCAGTGGTGCCATCGGCATATTTAGCAGTGGTCCGGGAGGAGCCGGCTGGGAATGTTTCATTATTTGGCAGGGAAGCAGCTAGAGTTCTCTCCTCATTTTCACCTGCAGAGGACTGAGCTTCCCTTCTAGATGCTGAAGATTGCCCTGGAGCCGTCTGAGGAGCCTCCATTCATGCAGAGCTCTTTGTTTTCTATCAGAGTTTGGTCTGTTTTCTCCAGTTAGCTAGCCTGATAAACCAGACTAAATGTGAGATTAAAGGTGTAATTTAGTCTGGTCCCAATGAATGAGTAATCGGAACATTGTTGATGAGAACAACCCGTTTTTTTTTCAAACCGCTGTCTGTGCCTATTAGCCAACGCTCTGACCAATGAGCGCAACTACCTGTGACGTAGTAAGCGCGACAGAAAGCTGGTGGGGGAGTGTAAACAAACAGCCTGTCGGTAAAACGGCAAATACATCCTTCTTAAAAATGGATGAGCGTAGAGCCACTTCCTGCTCGCTTTTCAACGAAAACCCAAAGTCCAATCCTTCCAAAACTGATTCCAAAGCTGAGTCAAACGAGAACTGTTCAATAGTTGCTGCCATCTTCCTTGTTGTGCTTCTCCCAGCGTCGTGCAGCTTTGTCGTCACGCCCTCAAAACCCTGCTTTGAGTCTGCTTTCAGCCCAGAAATTCAAAACGCATCTCTGCGTTGTGATTGGCCCGCCAGTTCTAGGGCCAGGGGAGTTGATCGAGGCTAGATCACTAGCAGGCAAAAATGATTTTGGCTGCTGGTGGGTGGGGCTAGTTTACTAGGCTACCAGTTAGCGATTTCTTGATTTCTAAAGTTAAATATTATATGCTGGATGCTGGAGTCTCTGTAATCTGAAGGCTAAGCAATAGAAACTGATGCTATGAACACCACACCTCAGCAAGATGAAGGAAAAAACACAGTTTAACTCTTTATATCAGTCTGTGCAGAAGGAAAATGAAGTTAGAATCTGTTAAAATCCAACTTGGCCATTCAGCTGTGGAGGCTTTAGAAATGATTTATGATTCTGAATCAGATACTAACCTGATTGAGGTGAAGAGATCAAAACTGGAAGCTTAGACTTCCATGAAAAGGTGGAATGTGGGTCATATACGGAGAAAAAGAATGTGAAGCTTTAGATGACTGGAGTTGAAATGAGTGGATTAGAAAAACTAATGGACCCAGTGCTTATAGTTATCGCTCCATTGAACGTTTCCCTTCAACTCCCTGCACCAAAAAACTGCAGCTGAAATGATTTTACTCACTGATTCTCATCAACCAAAACTTTCTGGACATTAATTACAGGCTAAATGTGTCAAAAAATTGATCTTTTTCTTTTAAATAAAATTTTATATAATGTTGATTTTATCTGCAGCCAGATTAACACGGTTCTCGCTCCCTGGAGCCATGTTTACCTGACCCGCTGTAGGAATAAACTAAGCTGACTGGAAAGAGAGGATTTAGTTTAATCCACACAACTGTAGCTATAATATATCTGAAGTTAAGCTACACTAATATTTACCGAAACAAGACAACATGGCTACTGACTGATTAATGAAGTAATAATTAAATATTTGATCAGCTTCGGTTTTAAATAATTACATTTTTAGTTTTTAAAAAGAATGAACCATTTTTTTTTATTTTGAGCCATGCAACATTTCCTGTATTTACTTTAACCCTTTAAAGCCAGATCCAAGAACAAAACAAAACAGAAAATTACTTTTTTTGGTTTGAAGTCCTTATTTGGCCTTTTAACAAAATATGTAAAAAGAAAAAACAAAAATACATTTTTGATATTAATTTCTTACTATGCGATAAGTCAAGATTATTTTTTGTGTAGTCTTCTGCCCTCTGTTATCAGGTATATCTGATTGTGTACAATAGGATTTTGAGCAAAGTTTTTACCATTAAATTATGCAAAAGGTGTCAGACGCGAAACAGTTCAGAAACCGTATCAAATATGATACATTTGGCGTTACAGGGTTAAACTCAAATGGTTTAATTTCTCTACAATTAACCTGTAGTCTAAACTAGGGTTGTCAAAAGTATCGATACTCAAAAAAGTATCGATACTGAAACGTTGTATCCGGATACAATACTCATTTTAAAAAGTATCGATACAGCCATCTTAAGTGTAGAATAGTGGAAAATGCACTTTCTGAACACTGTGTGACTGAATAATTCTGAGCATTTTTCAGTTTCAGACTTTTTTTGTAACAGGTGCAGCTGCTGAGAATTA